CATTCCTGGCTCCCATTGTTTCCAATGGGCAGTCCTGTCCTTCGTTTTAGTACACCCCCAGACCACCTTTCTGGCCTGGATAGCGAGGTGTTTCTTTGTGTGTGTGTGTGTGTTCATATGAACAGCTGGGTTGTGCTCTGATGGGGTGCCACAAATGGTTGGTGGGGTTAAGGTTGCCCAACTGAGCACAGGGCTGCTGGGAGCAGGGGGCGGGACTTGAACATGTGCCTGCACCTGGAGCACCTCACTCCCGGAGCGCCGTACCGGCGTGCTCCGGGGCCATCCGACCCCTGGTTCTGTCAGAGATGTTCTTGAAAAGAGCAGTTTCTGTCAGAGCTCTCTCAGCCCCACCTACCTCACAGGGTGTCTGTTGTGGGGAGGGGAAGGGAAAGAAGTTTGTAAGCCGCTCTGACACTCCAAGTGAAGGGTGGGGTATAAGTCCAATCTCTTCTCTCTTCTTCTTCTTATTCCAACTATCCTGGGTTTGGTCAGTGGTGAGAAATATTGTGACACCATGTGCAAAAATTAGAAGACACTGTAGGAGTTCTGAAAACATTTAATACTCTTGAGATAGGCTGGTACAGCCGATAAAGTAACAGGTGCCCAAGAACTGTGGAAACATTTTTTTACAAACTCAAGATTATGCTAATTTTCTGCTTTTGTTTTAAACCACAGTTTTATATGATCTTGCCTTCTTTTGCTTATTTTGTGTGATTCACCTCTGTGGAACAAAATCAGATAATCTGAAATTTAGCATGTTGATATTGAATGAACCACAGATCAGTACTTGTAGCTGTAAATCCAAGCAATAATGTCTCCCCAAGTTTTATAATATCTTATCACAATTAGTTTCATTTCTTTAAATGCTAGAATTTTCATTTTCCTTCATAGCAGCAATACTGAACGTGTAGCATTTCTTCCACAGCAAATCATAGCAATTTTTGGTATCATGATAAACAAACAAAAAAGGTCATATGGAGACTCTGGGAAAGGAATACAACTGTTAACTGCTTATTGTAATACACAGATTGCATAATGGTATGTGATATGTACAGAGTTAATGTCTCAAATACAGCATATTTCTGAAGTGTACTGATTGCAAAATATTACAACTGGCACTGGTACTGCATTTGTACCATGCCCCCCCCTCCCACTGAGTGATTCAATTAAGAAACATGAAATCATAGTCTAAATTAAGATTCAAAAGGTACAAAGGCTTCTGCAATCACACAAGCAATCTGCACTCCCTCCCATTCTGCAGCCTTTTGTGCCCCTCCAAAAGCTGCTCCTTAAGATTAGGGGAACTGCCCAGGGCAGCATCCAATACCAAACATGGGACTGCAACCGGAAGTAAAATTTGGGGAAGTCTCCACGATCATGCAGAAATATTCAGGCACATGCATGAGGCTGTCAATTCCTTTACAAATTTCAAATAGCCTGTGAGTACTTTTTGATCATATTCTTAAAACCCACAAAGTCTGAATCACATAAACTTATACTGAATTGAAGGGATTACATCTGCAGGTGTCCCAAGACACTTCACATCAATACAGGGGCAGGGGGCTTAAATAATGAAGACACAAGTATTGTTCTTCCACTGTGTATCTTAAAGTTTTATCCCAGCTGGAGCCTAAGTTTCCATTTAAACTGTGAACTACTTAGTCCTAGCCTAATGAAAATACCTAATTGCAATATACAAAACTCAACTTTCTAAAAACAGAAGAAATAATAAACATAGGGGCCTCCACAATACAGAACTTCAGAGGCCTATCCTCTTGCAAGTTGGCATTCAATTTAAGAAAATAAGACATACTTTACTAGAATAAGCAAAAGACTTTTATTCACATAGGAAAAAACAGTACTATGGAAGATCTCTACAATGCATTTCACAAATTTCCCTGAGCATTTTTTCCTTTACACAGAACATAAAATCCTTTATCAGACAGACGATGCATTTCCATTAGTGTCACACTGTTTCATTTGTTTATCCTGATACCTTATACTGCTTTTCTTGCCTCTTAAAATGCTATCTGAAAAAAATTCAGTAGTTCAAACATAGCACACTGTTATAAAATGCAACTACTTACAATTCTGACCCTGGCTTCTGCCTCCTTCTCCCCTCCAGCTGCTTGGCACAACTCCTTACTCTTGAAACATTCACAAAGGTGCTGCCTGAATAAAGTATACGACACATATTGTGTGATCCCTTCCAGCTAGGCATTTCCCATTTCCCTTAACAAACAGATTCAGGTGAAGCATACCGCTACTTGTAAGGGAAAAGAAGGAGACTCCTGTAGCGATGCAAGTAGAACTTCACGTATGCACTGGAGCCACTAGGCCAGTTCTAAGTCATACTCTGGAGTCCATAGCGGCATGGTCTAATGCTGGTGCTCACCGGGGAAATATTTGCAACTTTTCTGCGGTACTTTTTCATCCTCTACAATCTGCATTGCTACATGTCCCCTCTCTGTTTGAGGCACATACATAGACTAGGCATAGTGCCATCAAGGCTACATTCCAAATGCTCAAATGTTTGGAATGTTTCACATATGTTTGAGAGCAGCTGCCTTGTTTCACCCACTTTCCCTTTGGATTTCTTTCAGGAAGTAAGCATCACGCTTGAAAACAAATGTGCTTAAGAGGACTGCTATGCCTCTAAATCAGTCCTGTGTGGGCAAACAATGTGATGAGGCAAATTGTCCAACACGGTCCATTTCTGCTGAATTCTAGGGACAGCTCTGAAATGTCTAGCCAGAGATGCGTGGCCAAGGGTAACTACTGCTGGCTACTCTGTACCTTTCCTCTCAAAAAAATATGTCTACATCACAGAGCCTGGGGCTGAAGGAATTGCACTAAGCTTCAGTTTGTTTCACAAATTACTCTGTAAAATTAAGCAAGCAGAATCACACGGCTGCTACTACAAACAGCCAACTTATCCGACAGCCTAAAGGTACTCTCTTGGGCCCCCTTTGTTCTTAATTACATTTGAAGACTGCTTCCTGTTTTTATCTGAATAACCCACCCTGCAAAAACACAGGGAGGGGGAAGGAAAGGTGAAGCATGTGATAAGATTGGCAAGATGAAAAGGTTTAGCATTTGGAAAATATTAAGCTGCTATGATATGCTTGCAAATTCCTGTACCTTTAGGAGACAGACAGAACATAACACATCCACAACACGCACATGTAAGAAAATAGACAGTTATATACTTGTTCATTTAAAAATGCAATTTTCAGCAGTCGGTTTTTCAAGAAAAATAATAATTTGATCCCTTTCCTTCAAAACATATACAACACATCATTCTGCCTTAACATATATCTCTGCTTATATTGCTGGCCAGTGATTGGCTCAGACAGGCACATAGAAAATTTCTCAATAAACTATCCAAAAATATACATTTGACTTGTTCTACATAAAAGCCATTATGCCTGGACACTGTAAAAACTATATACCCCATTCATAAAACAGAAGCCCTTGTGCAATGCATGGTAAGAATGCCAAGCCTCTCTTTGTTCAGTGAGGAAAAGATTCATGACACCTCCTGGGTTTTCTTTTCTTATGCTGTAGGTTTGCAAAGAATGCAGCTATGCATTTCGCATCTGACACTCTGCTCTGAACGGCTGCCAGACTTTAAGCAGTTCCTCCTGTTGGCATCAGCAATATGGTCTCTTCCATGATACCCAGGCCAGCCTCCTACTCAGACAGGGCTGCTTTCTTCTCTCACCATAGACTGGTAGTGACTGTGCTTTTCTGCCACACACTTCAACTGTCTGCTTTAAAAATTCTTCAGTCTCTCTTTAATTGCATAGCCACAAACGATCCAGAGAAATGTACATTTATGCAAAACCAACTACGTTATCTGTCAACTAGATGAAAACGCCTTTGTCTGGTAAACAGTCATCTTTTGTGGCAGGCAAAATGGACAAAAGTTACCATGCGGAAATCAAGACAAAATTCATAAACAGTGACGATGAGTAGTACAGGGTGTGTCTGGATCTCTGTATGTCCATACAGTTCTGCATGTTAGTTTAAGTGCAAATATTTGTCTTTCTTAAAAGTGGTGCAACTTAGCATGGACACTTCTAGTGGCACCATCAAACTGGACCCAAGATGTTTCCAACATAATGAAGTATGACAGGTCAGCTGCTGACTGCCACCTTTGTTTCAGCAGCAACCCAAGGTAGTCATCATACAGACATATCTTCTGTCTCTCCATTCAGTTTTCTCATCTTTCTATTATCTTCTCTGCTTGACTTTTTTTTTTTGGTGCTATGTGTGCTATGACTCTACAAGGCAAACCATGGTGATTGCAGACTGGACATATATTATGCTATTTTGCTTTTCAGAAAGCCAAAGTGCTTTTCATTGGTGTATCATTGTCGTATTCTTCATGAAGAAACTAAGCAGAATTTGTCCACATCATTTGCAAGTTCAGACATGATGATTCCTGACAGTCTCTGTCCTCAGACACGATGAATGCATATGGCAGTACAAGGGAAACCAATCATCTGCAACCACCCAAAGAAGCCAGAACACATTTGTTCCGTATGCCAGTGTGTCCCTCTGGATGAATTTCAGCAATCTCATCCGCCCATGCTCTCCCTTATGAGATCCACTCGCAGAGCAAGGTCCCTGAAGGAGGGTCGCAGACTCACGTTACTATTCCAGCATTCCATCATCATGGCATAAGCCTTGGCAAGAGAGAAAATATCGAATAAGGTCAACAAAATAGCCAGGGGTCAGTCATCCTAACGAAATCTTGCAGTTCATAGTACCAGGTCTCAGCAGCACACGCCATCATACTTTCTCTATAAGTTCTGTGCCGTGTCCTACATCGACCCCTTCTCTGTAGAACACCCCCTAGACTACATAGGCAAGCCCCCATCTCTTCCAAATGCACACAAAGTTTATACATTCACCAGCCAGGAATAAAAATGAGAAAATAGGACTACTGAAGCTACTGCCCATCTCAAACAGTGATACCTGAGGATGGTCTAGCAGGGCCCCTTTTGGGGGCAGTTGCACTATCATTCCTAGCTGTACCTCTGTCTTTCCAATGAGGTGCTTCATAACTAGGCTTGGTTGAGTAAACAGACTAGCTTTAATGACTTGTATCCTAGTGCTATGCTAACAGCAGGGCCTCCTTCTGGCTCATGCAGACTTCCTGTGAGGTAATATGTGGCTGTTCTACTTGACCCTCTTCCATTGGAGGGAGACACCGCTGTTGGTAGAACCACTGGATACAAACCATTCACTTTACTGCTTGCCCTACAGAATCTGATAGAATAGCCTGAACATGTCTAAGTAGCGCCACAAATGATTAACAGTACTGTTGAAAAATCAGGGATTTCTCCCAACTCTTGAGCTCTAACTTCCTGTCCCCCTCCTCCACAGGAGCAATCCTTTTTCTACTCCATTGGACAATGCTACACTAATCCAGGAAAAACCCAACACAATTACTTTAAAGCTACTGTGGTGAGGAAAGTCTTCTTTTTCTACTCCATTGGACAATGCTACACATAAAGAGGGAGACTTACAAATAATCAATTAAGACTGCTCCCTGATTTCAAGAGGAATCTACATTGTAAAAATGATTCCAAGTAAAAGCTAACCAAATATATGGTAGAGGAAAGGGCAGAAGATGAGCAAAGAGTAATTTTTTAACAAGAACCTATTTCAGAACTTCTGAGATTACTTTGGACATATTATTATGAGCACTTGGAAAAGATTTCTTGGTTACTTTCACATAGGCACATCATCCCAAACTATGGTCACTTTCATCTGCGACTGTACTCTGGTAATGGTTAATTGGATAATGACCCTTATGGAGCTAACACCACACACACAGTGTATTTCTGAGTTCTTTTTTGAACACATGGTTCACAAAAGTTGTGTGTGGTAGTAATAAAATTTCAAGATGGGGAACCTTTGCTGAAAACTAGTAAAAAGAATTATGCCAGCAACTTCTGTACAATGAAAGTATTTTGTAAACTCTAGGTAGTTTGGAGCAATAGTGAATTATTGCATCTGATTTCCCCCCCTTAAAACTCCAGATAGCTGAAAAAAGCAGATATCATATTTAATTTTGTAATGAATTCAGGGGAAAACAGGAAGTGAAACCGGCTAGTATAAACCACTAGGAACACAAAAGCAATCTGCAGGTGCCCCTCATCATTGAAGGAAGTTACCCCAAGTTGGAGAACAGCAACATAAAGTACTACATTTCAATACCTCATCAGGACATCCATCAGGTCTTGGCAACCGTCCATTATTTTTCAAAAGCTCTATCAAATGGTACACGATCATCTGGTTTTGCTTATCGTTGCCAATCATGCGCATGAACTCCTGAAACAGAAATCTAGAACTGAATCTGAGTCAAATTAATAACACTGGAACACGTGTGTTTAAGAGAAAGTCCTCTGTAGAAAGCCTGCTCTTTTTTTGATTGATGCAATGCAATATGCCAGAGGCAAACTCTTAACATACCAATGAAGCATAGTTCCCTCTAAGTGGCACTCTGCACAACATTTTAACAGGCAACTCAAGGATTTCTGTTTCAGCTCACAAGGCATTCCCCCCCATTGGGAACAATGGCGAATGGGGGCACCTGGGGCACACAGAATTGGGCCCCGGTCCAATCTTTTTGAAACAGAGGAGGGGGGGCCTTGAGGAGAGGCACCAGCAGCTATGCGGCAAATCTGAAGCCTCTACCTAAGAAAAACACAACCTCCTGGAGCCCAAGATACCCCCAGACCAATTCTCCATTATAGCCTATGTGTGTGTGTTGTTTTGCACTCCCCTATTATGCTTTTCAGTATGATGTGTAAGGTGCCTTGAGTCACAGGGAAAAGTGGGATATAGATATCTGAATAAATAAGTAGTTTGGGCAGGCTGATAACATTTAAGCAACTTCTTGTTAGGCAGGGTTCTGACAGTGATTGTTCCTCCGCTGTTATACTTGACCTGTAATGCTAGTTGTCATATTTCACTAAAAAATCCCAAAGCAGACTGTAAGAGTCCCCCACCCCACCCCCCGTGCTGGTATGTTTTCTAAGGCGCTCAGCACAGGTCAACGGTCCGAGGTCAGGGCTGTGGCAAGTAGACCTGTTCTCCGGAGGACAGGTCTACCAGTATAGTGGAAAGGGGTGGGTGAGATTTGACGTGATTCTGTTTTCTCTTATAATGTTTAAATTATTCTTAAAATATAGTTTAAATATAATTTAAAATAATTTATTCTGAGATTTTTACAAGGTTATGGAAGTAATCCGCTAAAAAACTAATTAACATGATAGTAAACTGTAGACTCGCTCACACCTTTAATGGTACTAGGTTTTTTTTGCTCATGAGGCAGAATTTCTGCTCACAGCACTGTGGAGCTTAGAGGGAACATTGCAATGAAGCACTCCATTTTTAAAGTAAATCTGAAGATAATGCAGAGAGACATAAAATCTGTTCATATTATGCAGAAGCACTTAGCACTGAGCCTCTGAGAGGAGGGTTTTTGCTTCTCACCATAAACAGAAAAGGCTAAGAAAATGAATGCTCCCTTCCAAGTATAGCTAATGGGAACTTGCCCATGATCACCTTGGATGTTCTTAAGTAAACTGAGGGAGAGGACTTTGTCACAGATCGTGCAAACTATGTCCCAAGCTAACATTTCCCTTTTCATGGTCCATTTGTAAGTCTCTCCTAATCAGGGGTCGTTTCGTAGAAAAAGAGGTGCAGGAGCTCATTAGCATAACTTATTTTCATATGCCACACCCCCTGACATTATCGGAAGTGTGTCAGAAGGCAACACCCACCACTCAGGCTCCATTGGACTGTTTTTGGATTGCTGGCTATTGGGGGGGGGGAGAACGCGCAGATCTGCCCTCACAGAGGAGGGAGAGCTTGTACCTGAAGGTG